AAAGCCATAGTATTTAAAATAGGATTGTGCCTGTGAAACTCGTCACATATCTATCAAGCTTATGAGTTATGTAGTTATATCAGTATATTCCGATGGCCAACGCATTAAGAAACACTTAGAGAACAGCCGATATATTTCGTTACCCCTGCCAAAAAATAGCCAAGTACTCATCTTTCAATGTAGCGGATCGACCGAACATTATAAAAGCTTGTCATGGAGAGAAGTGAATTTTCGGTTTATCCTTCGTCCCAGTGACCAGTGAGCAGTGTGCTGTACGGCCTACGTTTAAACCGTTATACATAATTACTGCTTTCATTCTTTCAATCCGTTTTGAATATTCGGAATCATTCACTATTATATTATAAAACTGTATAAGATAGCTGTAGAACTATAAATGCTGTAGAATAAATAAAGAAAACTACGTTTTATCGCGGTATTTGCCGACAAATCGGTAACCGCTACAGAAAAACAGAACAAATTACAGTATATCACAACAAACCGCGGAAGTGGGACAATTTTGTATTTTTACTGTAAGACATGCAGAACATGTATGAAATCCATACAGAAGTGTGTGTGTATCAGTTCTATACTTTTGAAACAACTAAATCAGACTTTGGAAAATTTGACAGTATTAAAGCTACTTTTGAGAATTTAGATTTTAGGTCTTTGTTTTACATGTTCCCAGTAAATATTTTTAAGTTTTGAACTTTGATTCTCACAAGCTTACAATTTGTTTACAATCTACTCTGCCTCTGGCTCTGCCGTACTGCACGGCAGAGTTGATCGGAATTGTAACAAATACGCGTACACTTAAATGGCTTCCTGAATTTAGTCAATCAGATGTGTAAAAATTACTCGTTTCAATTTTATGTTTATCCTCGAAACTGCTCATGTTTAACATAGCAATTCTAACAATCTTGCCCTCCTTTTCGCCTTTGAGGCGTTGGTGTTGATTTATACACAAAATTCAAAACTCAAAAATATTTACTGGTCTGGGTACATGTAAAACGAAGACCTAAAATCTAAATTCCCAAAAGCAGCTTTAGCCTTTAATACGGTCAAATTTTCCGAAGTCTGATTTAGTTGTTTCAAAAGTATAGAATACACACACACTTCTGTATCGATTTCGTACATGTTCTACATGTCTTACAGTAAAAATACAAAAATTGTCCCACTTCCGCTGTTTGTTGTGATTTTAATACTGTAATTTGTTCTGTTTTTCTGTAGCGATTACCGATTTATCGGCAAATACCGCGATTTGAAAACTTACTTTTCTTTATTTATTTCATTCTACAGCATTTATAGTTCTACAGCTATCTTATACAGTTCTATAATATTGTGAATGATTCCGAATATTCAAAACGAATTGAAAGAATGAAAGCAGTAATGATGTACTGTATAACGGTTTAAACTTAGCCGGCCGTACAGCTCACTGCCACCGGTCACTGAGCCGAAGGATAAACCGAAAATTCACTTTTCTCATCACAAGATTTAATGTTCAGTCGATCCGCTACATTGAAAGATGAGTATACTTGGCTATTTTTGGCAGGGGTAACGAAATATATCGGCTGTTCTCTACAGTAAGTGTTTCTTTATGTGTTGCCCATCGGAATATAATATAACTACATATAAGCTTGATAGATGTAAGATAACGAGTTTCACAATCCCATTTTAAATACTATGGCTTTTGGCAGCCTGGTTTTGCATCATATGTGTTTTTCAGTACAAGCCCCATTTTCCTACTTCCCCAACGTGTAATACGCGAAAAAAACTTTGTTAGTAATAACAAAACATTGTAATAGTAAACAGTGTATTTTATTATAAAGGATTTTCGTTTTTCTACTGCTCCGTACTTCGTGTGCTCCGTGCTCCGTGCTCCGTGTTTTACTAATAGCCATGTAAGGTCGCTTGAGATTGTTATTCCCAGGAGCTTGAAACTTTGCACCATATCAAGTGAGATGTTATTGATGGTGAGTTGATCGATTACTAACAGGGTCTTTAGGAAAGATATCCGGAATTCTTTCGTTTTCTTTATGTTAAGGCGCATGTTATTAGTTTCTGTCCAGGTATTGACGATGTTGAGGTCCGTTTGGAGCATACTATAATTTGTTGACCTGGAAACGACTTCATATGCAATGCAATCGTCTATATTTTCTTTTTAACATTTGTATGTAAATTACGCAATTCGGCTTCTAAGGCCGCTATGCAATTTCTCATTAATAAATCTATCTATCTATCTATCTATTTACCTTACTTATGTAAGGGTAGGATTGTTGTGAAATCGTTTATCATTATAAGGAAGAACAAGGGGGCAAATATAGTTCCTTGTGGGACACCAGCATTAATTTCCTTCCAAACAGATTTTATTTTACCCATTTTTACTCGGAAATAACGGTGTTCTAGGAAATTTTCACACCAGTTCAATAGTATGGGGGGAACATTGAAATTTGATAGTTTTTCCATGAGGATATTATCACGCGATCGAAAGCTTTAGAAAAATCGATCATGCAGGACTTATGGAGTTACCACTTACCAGGTGTTTCGAGTGCAACTAACCAATGATAGATAAAGTGTATTAGGGCATGTGTTGTGGAACTATTCTTGATATTTCCGTATTGGTACGTAGTGGTCTAAATGCGGCCAGACATAACGGCACAGCCAGCGGAAAACAAATCGTTCCTTGAGTTCCCTGACGATTGCTGGTCCCCTGACGATTGCTGGCCGAATATCTTCATTTATGCATGGTTTTCCTTCAGGTGAATCTGGTGCAATTTTTCTGAGTATCTCTCTCTTTCTTTCTGAATGTTTCGCCTTCATCCGTTTCTTGCACTTATTAATGTTCTGCTTTCTTGAGCGTGACTTTCTCTTTATTGCAGAAAATCTGTGTCTGAATACAAATTCACATGTTTCCTGACGTTTAACAAGTCTAGTACGTAGAGTAGTTAATTCAGTTTTTACACTCTGCAACTGAGATAACTGAGCTACACCAAAATCATGAGCTGTATTATGTCCTGTCAAAATTCGCCCAGATAATTGAATGAATGGTTTTTTAAGGTGTTCTTTTAGGGTCTTTTCAATCTTATCAATAGATTTTTGAAGGTCATCTATATGTATAATCTTCTGTTTTATTGTTCCACTATCACATGCGGTTTTAGCACACGGTTTTCCCTGAGAAAATACAAAGCCTGCGAATCATCCTTTTCAGACTTAATATGCTCTGCTTGCTTCTTGATTTTTGAAATCATCTTCTCATTGTCATACTAATATCTGCCTTCGGCATGGGGTGTCCCGGGTGAAGTCCTTTTTCGTGTCACAGTATGCTCCTCTACGTTCCAAATAGAATGATTGATAAACATTGTTATAGAATTTTTTCATTTCTGTACGTGGATTGGGAATCCAGCCTAAATATTTATCTAGCTTCACTTTTGCGGATGATTGAAGATTTGCATTGCTCATGGTGAAGTTGAAAGTTGCTGCTCTGGACTTGTATATTGCTAAGCGAAAGTTGAAGCACTCAAAAGGTGCATTGAAACGGGAGAAAGTGGATATCATAACAGCAGACATTGTTAGGTCGCTATACTCAGATAGCCGTAATGATGCCAGTGACGACGACATCGATGAATGCCATGACAGCGATGATGATGAAGAAGATATTTTATTTATTTATTTATTTATTTGATTTTACCCAATAATATTTATTTATTTACATGAAAATTCTAATATTAAGGAAGAAGAGGGCTAGGAGTCTATTTGAAACCATTTGGCTTTTTGCTTAGACCCCTAGAAATATATTTACAATTGTTTTTTAATTAATTAAGTAAACCAGTTCAAAGTCAAATTATTACAGTAGTCAATTTTGCGAATATATACGGTATATTATAATAATACAATTACAATTACAATTTGATATTCATAGTAATCAATAATCATAGAAATAAGCGTGTGGTGATTTGTTGTGCCCTAGAAGTTTGATAGAATTTATAAACTTCCGGTAGTTAATTAGATATGAAGAAAGTGTTTCTTTACCTCTCGTTTGAAGACGAAATGTGATTTTATTTGTTTGAAGTCTTTCGCAAGACAGTTCCAAATTTCGATTCCTTTGTTTGCTAGGGAATGTTTTGTGTAATTTGTTCTTTTGTAAGACTTGTGAAGGAGCGATGCATTTCTGGTATTGTGATGATGTATCTCGTTGTTGGATACAAAATAATTACAAAATATTTCTGGTAAATTTTGTACTTTGTAGTATCTGAACATAAATAAACTAGTTAAATACTTATTTATTTTGTAGATGTTGAGTATCTTAAGTTTCTTAAATATCGGATCAGTGTGCTCAAAATAAGAACTAAACGTTATCAATCTTACAAGTTTCTTTTGAATGGTGAAAAGTTTTTGAATACGTGTCTTATACGTATTCCCCCAAATAAGGTTACCATAGATAAGATATGGATAGACTAACGCATAATAAATTAGTTTTAGAGAATTAATATTTGTGAAGTATCGGATTTTGGAAATTATTGCAGTAGCTTTGATAATCTTTTTGAAACTAGTTCTATATGATATTTCCATGTCAAACATTCATCTATCACAATCCCAAGAAATGTTATACTTTTGACCTGTTTAATATTGTCATTATTCATTGAAAGTTTGATATCATGACTTGTTCTTTTGTTTGGAGACTTGAATAAAACAAATTTTGTTTTTTTCATATTAATTGATTACTAATTAACTTATTAACATTAAGCCAATCTGTGATTTTATTTATTTCTGTTTGTATTATTTCATTCAAAGTCTTAAGGCAAGTGTGACTATGAAGTATACTTGTATCATCTGCAAATAATACCATGGAAACAAGTTCGCTGCAATATTGAATGTCATTTATATACAGGAGAAATAATAAAGGTCCTAAAATAGATCCCTGAAGAACACCACTGTTTATTGTGAATTCCTCTGATCGTACATCGCTGTATTTAACAATTTGTTTTCTGTTATTTAAATAGCTTTCAAACCATTTTTGTGCTATTCCTCGTATCCCGTAGTGTTCCAGTGATTTATTGTCAGTGTCAAATGCTTTCGATAAATCAAGGAAAATGCCTATTGTAAATTCTCCCCGATCAATCGCAGCAGTAATTTTGTCGACAAAATCAATCATCGCAAGCTCCGTTGATCTGTTTTTCCTCAAACCGTATTGGTGTTTTGATAAGATTTTGTTTTTTTCCACAAAATTTATTAATCTATTGTACATCAACTTTTCTAATAATTTGGAGAAACAAGTGAGAACAGATATAGGTCTGTAGTTTTCGAATCTAGTTTCATCGCTATTTTTAAAAATTGGTGTAACTAATGCTTTCTTTAAATCTTCAGGAATAACTCCATGTAGAAATGTTAAATTAAAAATGTGTGTTAGCGGTTTCGAAATGTCTTTAGCAATATGTTTACGATTTTTGTACTTATATCATCATACCCGGAGCTTTTATTTGAGTTCATATTCATTATTTCATTTTCAAGTTCATTTTCAATAAGTGGATTGAGAAAAAGACTATCTGTATAGTTACTTTTAAGGTATTTTATATTATGGAACAGCAAATTGGGAGTGATGTTGACATTCAAGACGATGAAGTTGAGGAAGACAATCATGGGCGTACCGGAAGGAAAAAATTAGGGGGGCGGAAAGAAATTTGCCCGACTTTTCCGGATTGTGCCCGACCAGTACCGATAATATTTTTTCCGGAATTTATTTTGGCAACTCCCCCGCCCCGTCCCCCCCCCCCGTCGCCAAAAAAATTTCGGTCAGTGTCCCATTTTAGGGGTTAAAATTTTTTTTCTGACATACCAAAAGTTTTGGGAACATCACACAAATTTTCGAAACATCAAAAAATTGACCACAATATTGACAGAATTTGTCCCATTTATTTTTATAATAAACCAAAATTGCCCGACTGTTGAGCGAATATTGCCCGATTGCCCAACAAACTGGGGGGGGGCTGCCGCTCCCCCGCCCGGTACGCCCATGAAGACAATGAAGTTCCTTGTCTTGAAGAAGAGAACATTTCCGATTTTTTGCGAGATCAGGGAGATTTGTAGAACTTGGATGGGAAGAGCAAAAATTTCTGACTTTGCATGAGATTGATTTAAGAAATACGTGCTGTCCCAAAAATTGATGACACAATCATTACATAATTCACAAATCAAATTTTAATGTAACATAGTCAAAAAAAATATCAGAGGAGGGTCACAACTTTTTGGACCAAAGTGTTGGGGAGGGCCAAGCTTTTTGGGCTGAGATTTTAGATGGGTTATGTATTTTTGGGCCCTGCTTTATAAAATTTTACCGACCCCCCCCCCCCCCAAAAAAAAAAAAAAGATCGCTCCCTTATGAAATTTTCTGCAGTCTAAAGTTTCATGTTGTCTGCAACAAATAGGAAAATGATCAAAATAGTGATTAATTCACATATTGTATTGACATATGACTGTTGACATTGCTTTTCAGTCTCCAATATTTCAGTGAGTCATGCTTTGGAAATGACAATAAATTTTTATTACCAACCCTTGAGTTGTTTTGTTTTACGTTTACCCAACCTTTCACTTACTTAAAATTTTGTTTACCAACCCTTTTCTCTTCGCTGCAACCCCCTGCCATAAATAATGACCGGTCCCTAATCGAAATGTGCCGAATACTTGCCATCATTATGCCGGTTTTCCACTCTTTTCGCCCAAGCGAATTTTTCATTTGCCTTTGGTCTCTCAACTGGGACCATCTGGAACTAATTGGATAAAGGCAACAGAAAAATACACTTCGCGCGAAAAAATTCGCAAGTGCAAAACTGGCTTAAGGCACTTTGTTAGATAACTTTGTTGCTGCAATGGAGAGAGAATTTAGGAAACTATCCGAAGTTATAGGAAGTTGTCCTGTCGATGAAGCACGAGATGTGATTTCGCTGTTGCCCAGTACAGGAGGAAGACTTGCTTACAATATTACCAAGGTCCAAATCGAACAGTTGAGAGAAACAGGATTGAACTGGTGTGGAATTGCAGGATTTCTGTTTGTTTTAAGTTTAAATATAGGTAATGAGTACTCGATATCAACTTCAATCATTGACTGACTTTTGGTGAATCTGTAGCCAGAAATAACATGCCCCCTTTCATTTAGAGCAAGACGAGTTCGCCTGCGTTTCCCTTTCGTTCTCCTTCTCCACGAGTAGAGGGCGAAGGACGCTGGTCCGGAAAATATTGCGTGATTGAATATGGTCTGTACCGATTAGTCGCCCGTTCATTCAAGGAACTGTAAACTGACGGTCTGTTTGAGTTCGTGCGTTGAGAATATAAAACTTGCCACATATCTTCGCGAATACGATGTTTATTTTTTGATTAACGCATATCGTTTGGAATATTGTTGATAACATTTTTCAAAGTTTGCTTCAAAATTTTCCAAAAACGATGTTTTTTGAAGTTCAAAAACTCAATTATAATTCATCAATCCTTATTATATTTTGTCAGCCATCTTGTTTGTGTGAGTAGTAATATAGGTATAAAAAATGTAAAAGCCAAGTTATTCAACTTATCAGAAACACAAAAACCCATTATTTTAAGAAGCAAGTTGGAAATGCATTAATATATTGTTAAACAGGAAATCAAAAACAACTACTATTAACGACAACAAAAGCGTCACAGGTGATGAAAAATTAAATAGTCAAAGATTTTCACACCTACTCTTGTGAGATAGGAACTAATCTCGCTAAGAAGATACCTGAAAATAACCTTAGTCCATCACTGACTAAGCAGTATGAATAGTTTCGGAATGGGATCATTCTCCTTTTTGATTTTGAACGGTGTTGTGAAAATTGTTTTCTCGCTTCATGACAGCAGTATGAATAGTTTCGGAATGGGATCATTCTCCTTTTTGATTTTGAACGGTGTTGTGAAAATTGTATTCTCGCGACCAAAATTAAGGCCAACGAATTTACATTTAATAAAATCACAGAAGTGGAACTGATTAGGCCTCGACGGAATCAGTAATAAGCTAATAAAAGCAGCGCAGGAAATACTATTGTAACTTTAGTTTTGATTACTGGTGTATTTCCAGATGACATGAAGTTAGCAAAAGTTACTCCAATTCACAAGACTGGTGACAAAACTAACTGTGGAAACTATAGACCAATCTCGGTAATATCAGCTATAGCAAACATTTTAGAGAGGATAGTGTATGGCCAAGTGCTCACTTTCTAATAGCCAGGCTTCCGTCACTCCACAGAAACTGCTCTTTTACAATCAGTGAATCAATGGCTACTAAATACTGACAAGGGTATAATAAATGGTGTATTATTTCTAGATCTTAAGAAGGCCTTTGACACTGTAAATCATAAAATTCTTTTTATTAAAACTTGAACAGTATGGAATTAGAGGGAAACCTTTGGACCTTTTTAAATCATATTTTAGCAATAGACAGCAAATATGTACAATTGAAACTGCTAGGTCTGAACAAAAAGGCATTGTGTGTGGTGTTTCCCAAGGATCTAATCTTGGTTCCTTGCTTTTCTTATTATACATCAACGACCTCCCAAACTGTCTCAAGCAACCACCGGCAAGCCTCAATGTTTGGGGATGATACCAGCATCTCATGCACTGGAACGGCACCTAAGGAAATCGAAAATGAGACTATCAAAGACTTACGTAACGTACACAAATGGCTTGAGACTAATAGACTGAGTAACATTAAATACTGATAAAACTGAGTTTATGCTAATAGGCTCAAAAATGAAATTAAACCAGTACTCCGAAGATCCACACATATTAATTAGCAGTCACACTATAAGACAGGTGACAAACAAAAAAGTCTTAGGAATCACTGTTAACGAAGAATTAAAATGGAAAGAACATAATGACGCTTAGACTGAGTGTAAAACACTCTCTAAATCTATAGCACTGTTAAAAAGAGCAAGATCATATGTTTCCCAAAACACTTTTCTTAGTACTGTATGTTTAATGGTTCTACTCATTTTGCATATTGTTAGAGCATAACTATTTTAAATAGCTTTAAAACTTTTTTTATTTTTTTTAACAACAAACAAATTTTTATCTTAATAACAAACAAATTTGTTGAACAACAAACAAATTTTTATCAAATTTTTATCTACTTAGGAAACTTGCCAAGCACGCCTTGAGGTAATGTTTTGTGGATCTTTGTGATGACCTGCAATAATTTTGTAAATAGTTTTGGTTACTTGCATAATTGGATACTTTTTATAAACTTAAATAATTAATTAACGACCCTTTGGCTTCTTGTATAACATAGTGTTAGACTGTTAGTATGCATAATTACATATACTTTTTTTTACAAATTTGTAAATAACTAATTAAACGGCCCATTGAAAATCAGTTTTTCTGCTGAAAGGCTACCGTTTTTAAAAACTTTAACTAATAAATAATAATAAGGTACCGTTCGGGCCGAATTTTTGCGGTGGCGGAGCGTGGTGGCGGAGCGTGGTGGCGGAGTGTGGTGGCGGAGTGTAGTGGCGGAGTGTGGTGGCGGAGTGTGGTGGCGGAGTGTGGTGGCGGAGTGTGGTGGCGGAGTGTGGTGGCGGAGTGTGGTGGCGGAGTGTGGTGGCGGAGCGTGGTGGCGGAGTGTGGTGGCGGAGTGTGGTGGTGAAGTATGGCGGAGTGTGGTGCCCGAGTGAGGCGGAGGTATTAATATTCAGGTGATGGAGGAAGGTGGAGGTGATTAATATTTTTGCTGAGCTCAACAATTTTTCGCGTCCCCATCCATCTAATGACAATAGCTAAGTGTCGGCGTTTTATTTAAGTATATATACGATAATTTATTTTTCAACACGCAATCGAAATTCGTTTTAATCAGTTTTAATGAATTTGGTGGCTCTTAAAGGAATAATAAGTTTCCAAGAAGAAATAAAAATGGCGACATATTTTAAACAGAACTAAACAGTTGCTAAGCCCAAGTTAACAAGGTTGCCAACGCCGTTGTTATGGTCGATATTTGCATATTACACAGTCATTAAAAAGTGATTAACCCGCCCACTCCATGTGGATACATATTTTTATTTTACCAAGCGAAATACAAGGGAACATACTGTTCTCGTTATGGCTGGTATACGTTGTGGATTTTGGGAGATATATCGAAATTTTGTTTTGTTGACATAAAAAATGTGTGCTACCAAAGGCAATTAAAGTCATTAGCTGTCGTTAAAGGATTATAGCGGATAAATTTATTACGCGGGCGTGCCTTAAAATCGGGCGGCAGTGTGGCTTTGTGTGCATAAATTTGCACAAGAATTTAGATTTAAAACACATTTATTTCTTCAAAACGTTTACAAAGTTATGCTTCTAATATATATCGTCACTTGTTTGAGACGTTTCACTATCTAAGATACTGGATGATATCCTGCGACACTGAAAGATTAAGATACAGTGACATACTGTATGATATCTTAAGATACTGTATGATATCCTAAGATACTGTATGATATGTTAAGATATCAATATCCTAAGTCAGCATTTTTACACAAGTGAACATATATATATAACAAATCCTACACGTTGATTGGTCAAATTTGACGTAATAAGCTGTTATATTTACCTACAGGTGAATATAACAAAACAGAAATTTTCAAAATGGCGGCTAACCGTTTTGTGGAAGTTTACTGACAAAGAAATAAGCAAAATTAAAATAAAGTCAGTCTCAAAAAACAAAAAAGCTTGTGTAAAAATACTAAAACAATTATTCGCCTCATGCATGCTCGGTGATTATCTTAAGATACTGTTTGATATCCTAAGATATTGTATGATATCCTAACATATTGTGTGATATACTAAGATATAATATGAATGATATCTCAATGCATATCATAGATAAATGTGTATAGATTCATATGAATGATATCTCAATGCATGTCTTGTTCTTTTTAAAATTCACTGTGTAGTGTAGTCATCTAACTCACGTAGCCACTCAATGCATTTCTCGTTCTTTTTAAACGAACTCGCTGTGTAGTCACGTAACTCACGTGGCCACTCAATGCATGTCCCGTTCTTTTCAAACTCGCTGTATTGTGTGGTCACGTAACTCACGTAATCACTCAATGGATGTCTCGTTCTTTTTAAAACTCACTGTATTGTGTAGTCACGTTACTCACGTAGCCACTCAATGAATGTCTCGTTCTTTTTAAAACTCACTGTGTAGTGTAGTCACGCAACTCACGTAGCCACTCAATGCATGTCTCGTTCTTTTTAAAACTCACTGCGTGCCAAATAAAAACCACTGAAAACTATAACTCGATCCCAAACAATTATGCCGCAAATACTGAAAAAAGACTGCGCGCTCAAAGTAATCTTACAGTTGCCGACGTCGTATGAAACAAGCCTTGTGACGTCATTATGCATAAGGTCTATTGACGAGTTTATTTAAACTTCCAATTTTTGTATCTGCGCGGAGCGCTAGATACTATGCTATCGAGTTGTGTGTGTGTGTGTGTGTGTGTGTGTGTGTGTGTGTGTGTGTGTGTGTGTGTGTGTGCGTGCGTGCGTGCGAGTGTGCGTTAAACACTCAGGTCGACTAATTAGGGCTGTACGCCTGCGAACAGGCAGTAAAACAAATATGACGACTTTCTACTGGATGACGAGTGTTTCTAGTATGTAAATTTATATAAAGAAACTGACTGTTGATAAGTCAAAATGGTCCGATAAAAAAACTTTTTGTTAATCCTAGAGGATTGCCCGAAGTAACATCGATTGTCAATATGGGATGTTAAAGACCATGTCAAGTCCGTTCTGCGCATCAGTTCTGCTCATATCTAAAAATGTCGTCCCTTATAAATTCCCTTACTGGAAGGAATAACAAATCTTCCAGTATTACAGAAATATCAGTGAATGATAACAGCATTACCGATTCTAAGTTAATCGCTAAATCGTTTAATGAATATTTTGTTAACATTGACCCTGGCCTAGCTTCTGAAGCAAGTGAAGAGCCTCTTACACAACATACTACGAATAGCTACCATAATTCCAATCTTTTAAAAGAGAATGCTAATGTCTTAACGGTTCCTATTATGGACATTTTGAACAGCTCATACAGCGAGGGTTGCCTACCACTATCTTGGAAAATGAAGAAACAAACAGAAGCCAGTGAAAGACGTCAATAAACATCTACGACCTATTTGTCTCACCCCAATATTATCCAAAGTCGCTGAAGAATTCGTTGTCGAAGAATACGTTAAAACTGCAATACTTAAGAAAATTAGTGCCAACCAATTCGGATGCGTCCCGAAGTCATCAATGACGCATGCACTTAGTATATGATGCACATGTGGGCTAAACGCACAGATGGAAATGGGGCAACAGTAAGGTTTGTTCTCTTTGACTACCGGAAAGCGTTTGATTTGATCGACCACACTATCTTGGCCAGCAAGTTAAAATCTTTAGATCTCCCATATGGAATTGCATGCTGGGTCATGGATTTTTTAAAGTGTCGCAAGCAGAAAGTCAAACTAGAACGTGATTGTAGATCGAAGTGGAAGGATATCCCTGCTGGAGTACCGCAAGGAACCAAACTAGGACCGCGGCTCTTTGTGCTGATGATAGATGATATAGAAGTGAAGGACACCGAACTATGGAAGTATGTGGACGACACAACTATTGTCCTGAACCTGTTTTAAAGGACGAAATTAGTAATATCCAAAACGCTGTCTCAGAACTAGCTATGAAATCTCACCAGAATAAGCTTCAGTTAAACGAAAAGAAATGCAAAGAGATAAGGATATAGTTCGCTAAGAAAGCTCCGGATTTTGCCCCCGTTCTATTGGTTCTAATCAATAACAAAGCTATTGACGTAGTTGCTAATGTCAAACTTCTTGGATTGAATATACTGTAACTAATGATCTAAAATGGAACTGTCACGTCTCAGAAATCATAGGTAAAGTATCTACCAGACTTTATTTTTTAAAGCAACTGAGGAGAGCAAACGTACCAACAAAAGAGCTTTTAACTTTCTATGTACGTCACATGCATACGTCCTGTTGCAGAATATATTTATAGTTCCATAATGGACTGCCGAAGTTTTTGTCAAATGACTTAGAACGGTTGCAAAAGGGAGCAATGAGTATAATCCTCCCTCAAGTTACGTACGCTGACGCCTTGACAGCAAGTACGCTACCTACACTTTACGACCGTAGGAATATCTTGACAGTCAAATTCTTTAATAATTGCTGCCGCAGGCAGCTTTCCTATTCTTGTGATTTGTTCCCAGACCTCTTTACCGAGCTATATGAATGCGACAATGATTTGCATTTAGCAATGTTTGGATGTTCAGTTTTATGACGTTTTGTGGCGTAGAAGATTCGACGGGTTTTTACGGAAGCTACCGGCTGCTCTTCGGAACTTGCCAAGAATTAGCATGAGGGCGAAACTTACAAGTTGGCAAGTATTTAGCAAATATTGCAATTTTTAAGAATTATGTCTTCTTGTAAAGTCATATATTTAAAAGATCAAAGCATTATCTATGATCCTTTTAGTTTACGAAGAATTTTCAGAAGGTTTGTCGATTTGTTCTTTTATTTATGTGGGCTCGCGTTTGATTTTATAACCCTGACAGTGCATATTTGGTGTTGGGAATCATTGTGTTCACGCTGTCGCTGATCAATATATTGATCAGACACTTTGCGTGTTGGTCACGGTGGCCAAACAGGCAACCCAAATAAAATTTACATCAATTCTAAACAAACAAACGGAAACTAACGAGAGCCATTGCGTTCAAAACAAACGAGAGCCATTGTACGAAGGTATCACGTGACTCAGAGCTACAGTATATCATATATAAAACTGCAAATTTTACAGACCTCTATTACTGCCGCTGATAGATCAAGTCGCAGTGATATATATATATATATATTGCATTTGGTTAAATGGGGGTAACAATTGAGCAATATCGTGCCTGAATTCAATTGGTGCGCATTTTAATAGTTATAGTGTGAGAAGCAATGATCTATCGGGCATCAGAGACGTCCTTTTCTCGATAATATAAATATGTTGATATGAGCACCTGTATGAGTACTTCCGCACACCGGAAGGCGCATGCATGCCGTGTTTCGCATGTCCAGTAGCGACAATAACAAAAATGTAAACAATACTTAAGGTGGCTTTTCAACTAAAAAATGACTGTAGGCCCCTTTAAAAGACAATGTCAGTGTTGAATAACGTAGTGGGCTACTGGGCTTATATTCGGGGGACTTATATTTGGTGGTCTTATATTCTGGGGGCGGGGCTTGTATTCAGGGGGCGGGCCTTGTATTCAGGGGGCAGGGCTTATATTCAGGGGGGGCTTATAGTCGGGGGTTTACGGTGTATAACTTTTTATTGGTAGAGTATTGCAAGTTATTTCATTACAACTACTCAAATACCTCCTACAAGCCATCACTATGTTAGTACTATATACAAGACAATTAACAAATTTTGTTGTGGATTACCTGCAATGCATTGCAGCTGCCACATGATGCTGCCGCCAGTGGCGTAACTACTATGGGCTCGCACCAAGCGAACCCAGGGGCCCCCAACCCCAATGGGCCAAATGGGGGCCCCCAGGGTCAGGCTGTAGAGCAAAAACGTTGGCCAGGCCGGCCTCTGATATGTCACAATGTCGTTTTCTGACCATCAGAATTCTGTAAAATCTCTCCCTTTGGTCCGGGAAATGGCATTTCAGAGACTCTAGATTCAAACATTTTCCGGCTGAGCATGCCCTGGACCCCTAGAAAACTTGTGCATATATGGCGTTCAACTCGTGCCTTTGGCACTTCTACTAGGGGGGACTTCGAAAATTTTGAACCGGGGGCCCCCTGATATAACGTTACGCCCCTGGCTGCCACATGATTCATCATCAAAATGCTGACGCCATGGTCCTACCCAGTGCGCTTATGGAGGTCTACCATTTTGAATATTATCAGGGGGTGAATGCCTCTCAGCACACTGGCTAGCACCATGGCATCATTTTGATTACGAATTACGCCATTACGGTCATGTAACACTGACGTTGAGACGCGATTGGTAACCAGGCCTCCATGTCAAACATAAGGTAATCAAAGTTAAGCGCTAACTTGTTCGCAACGCGAATTCACCTACGGCAGCAATTTCACTAACTTTTTGTTATACTAGTTAATACAATAACTACTAACGAAAACCATAAGTTACATAGTTTACTACCCGAGCATAATACATGTGAAGTCAACCTCCGATATAAGCGGAGATTCAATATGCCAATATGTAAGACTAATAGACTCAAAAATACTTTTATGTATAGTAATAGCATATAGACTATTTTAACAATTCAATAATTATTCAATAATTAAAGACAGTAATTTTAACTAGAAATTTTTCAATTGTAAAGTACTACGCAATTCAGCCTTTTGGCTGCAAATGTAAGATTATGACGTCATCTACTCAATTACATATATACTGAGATATCATTAATTGTTGTGTATCTTTGATATTTTTATCAAAATATTTCGAAAGATGCGGCGCGTTTGTTAATTTAACCTGCATCATTAAGCATGCTGTGTTTTTTAACAAATCGATTAAAATAGCAAAGATACACAACAATTACTGATATCTCATTATATATGTAATTGAGTAGATGACGTCACATGGTTACAAACAAAAGAAATATCTCAAGAACTAAGCATGAGAACAAAAATCTTCAAAACAAGTTATTATACAGTTTTACGAGCATTTTCGTTTAAGCTTTGGTTTAAGAGAATAAAAATTTTGATCATACTGCCCCTTTAAACCATCGAACGTATTGTTTGATTGTTATTCTTATCTGGGATTCATAATGAGCAGAACACATTTTTATCTCACACTTCCAAGCAATGCGTTCCTGGACGTTTCTCCCGATAACAAAACGATCGGTTATCGTGTAAAAATATCCCAACCCGTCAATTTGGATGGCAATTGGGAAGTCGGACTGTATCCATTTCTTACCCAAACACCTGGTATACTCTACGAGATATTAATTTGGACATTTCTATTACGATGATGGTAGCGGGCACTTCACAGGGACAATCATGGATTATGGTCCCTACGAGACCGTATACAAGAGCTACTCAAAAACATGAATGAATCTTAATTTAAAAAGAGATATTGGCAACGATAGCATAAGCTTAACGTTAGTACAACATTCGAACAGAAAAAGAGACAGTTCACGTGAAAGCCAATTGTAAGGTTCTTTTAACTCTCAATTTGTCTCTCATCCTGGGGTTCGGTGGAAAAGATGTAATCATGGACAAAACGGGCGAAAGTCCTTATGTGGCAGATTTGTCTACCTTGACGTCCATCTACACCTATTGCAACATCGTTCAGCCGCAGATCGTTGGAGACACAAGCGCTCAATTACTTCGAAGCATTCCCGTCGAAGGAAAATATGGCGACGTCGTTACTAGAACGTTCATGAAGGCTTCGTTCATCATTTCAAGTGGAAGCACGCATATCTTCGGCATTGAAATATAAGTAAACTGGAACGATAACTCCTATGATAAAGGCCTATGTTTGGGTGAAGCCAAATTTCGGGCGCTCAAGTACAGCCTGTTCGCAGGCATGTATACGAAAATAAATACACAAAATTTTTAACGAAGTATTTTTACTAATTTAATGTAAATAACGAACGGTTTGTTTACATTTTGAACTGCTGTATTTTTTATAATATGATGTACTGTCTGAATATCTAACACCATTTTGGTTCGCTATGCTTCTAAATGAATATGAAATAGAGTGTGTGTTCAGAAAATATCGAAACATTCGAAATTTGGGCAATGTTCATATTAGAGGTCCTCACATTGTTATGAGCAGAACCGGCGGATGCGCAAAACGGACTTGACTTCCAGTTTAACTTATTAAAGTACGTTTCTGGATGTTTGGACTCCATTGACAACTGTATCTAAGATTTTTCTACATAAATTTTATAAAATTGTCTCTGAACTGTTTCTGGAAAGTCTAAAAACTCAGAAAAACCATAAATTCTCGCGCGGTTTTTTTGCTGAGTTTCGTTTTGTTCGTTTCATATTTCGGCAGTTAAACAATATTTGTTTATTTTATGTGCCTTAGATAAAAGTTGTGTTGTCTAAGTGTGCTCCAGGATAAATTTAAATGCCTTGAAAGAAGTAAAAGTGAGAAAATTTTAACGATTTTTAAGCTGTATTTTTCGCATCCATTTTGTAAAAAAGGACTTGGGCTACCTGCAGAAAACACTCATGGCCGCTTTCAAAGATGGCGGCGAACTTATCGTTCCAGTCTTCTCCCGCTGAAAACCCGAGCAGTTTTCGCGCATGCTCAGTCAATTTTCCCACCTGTTCATGACTACTGGTTCTTATTTCTCATGGTAATTACCACTGACCAACCGCTATCCTACACGGCAAAAAACGCCGAGCCCGTTGCTCAACAGGACTGAACAATGTTTTGCTGCCCACGTTGTTCACACTTGTCAACAATATTGAACAATGTTGTTGAGCCTGAATCGGGTGTAACAATATTGTTCAATATTATTGACAGCTATGAACAATGTGGGCAGCAAAACATTGTTCAATCCTGTTTTCATCAGTATTGCATCAACCTGAGCGTTTTTACGCGTGTACACGCGTAAAAATTGATCAGGTTGTTCGGCGTTGTTCTTTGAACAATGCCTGAACAATGTTGTCATCATGGCTGAACAACGTTGTTCAAGCAACAATCGTTAACAACATTGTTTCAACAACTTGTTCACGCTTGATGAACGAACAATGATTGTTGCAACATGATGGAACAAGAGTCAACAAGGTTGATGAAACATGGTTGATAAATGTTGTCAGAACAATGTTGTTCAGCGTTGTTCATTCATCAGGCGTCAACAATTTTGTTCGAACAAGCGTGAACAACATTGATGAAAGAACAAGTTGTTTTTAGTTGTTCGAACAACCGTGAACAGCATTGTTATAAATAGGCGGTAAAATAATGATTTGAACAACACGAAAACTTGTTTTTATTGGTTGTTGCGAAACGCTGAGATGCAAAACGGACGAATGCGACGAATATCACGAGAGCAAGAAATCAAACGGCCGGGCTTTTACAGCAAAAAAATGTTGTTTAAACTGTTTTTTTCTGAAGATTGAGGGGAAAATACTGAAGAAAATAACTTGGTAAGTGTCTTGTTTTGAGGTAAGGTTAGTTGTAAAAGCTTAAAACAACGCGACCTTTTGATTTTAGTCATTTTCATAGTACACGAAGAAATGCACACGCACAAGCTTTATAGTACTTTTATATAGGCATTGCATTTTCATATTCTCGATATTTTCAGTATATATGAAACAACAAACCACGGTCATACTGTAATAAAAAGCCGTAATATAAATAAAACATTTAATTCTCAAAATATTGTTCAAATTTTTCCAATTACACTTTTGAAATTTGAATATGTCAAAAAAGCTATCATATCATATGTCCTAATGTCCTCCGCTCCTTCCGTCCCTATTGTTTGTAATTTTGATCACTGCTATATATAGACAATTCCTATTGTGTTTTAACAAGGTCAACCAAATACTTGATCAGTTTACACACCCAGAATGATGTATTTTAACTGCATATAATATGTGATGGATAAATTATAGGTAGGTAGGTAAGATAATTAGCCATTTCCCAAAGTTCTGGGTCTAGTCGCACGAATCCCTTGTTTGGAGAGACAAGAAATATGGCAGCACACATGAATTAAATATTTAATGTAAAAAGGAGATATTTCAATTTTCGGTCATGGAAAAAGTTTATATTTGATGGTAGATACTTCTACTCGTTCAATATTTGACGCCTGTCGTCATATTTTTTGTCCCTCCAAACGATTCCAGAATTCACTGTGATCTCTTTTGCCGGAAAGGCTAATTGTAGTTACTACCAGCCAGTCATATTTCCTTTTATTTCCTGTGTTAATAATTAAACAGGTGACTATGATTGTCATGGAAGGTATGAAGGAGGTAGCTATGATTTCTCACATGGCTATGGGGGATAATCATGATCATAATTATGCTCAAATGTAATTATTGTCTCATTTTTATCCTTTTTGTAGTGTAAAGTATAAAAATAAAAATCTATGAATATGTCAGCCTCATGCACTTGGTAAGTAATTTGTTTTATACCTTTGTTGTGGTCTGTGTAGATTGAGGCTATTTTGGCAACAGTCATGCACTTAGACATAGCATGACCAGTCCATATGTGGACTGCCTATGTCTATTAAACATGATTGAATACCCAAATTAGATTCAAGATTATGATATGTCCCAGGCATGGATCCAAAAATGACCATGTACTGAAGTTATATGGCATGACCCATGTAAAGTATGGTGGGAAACATACAATATTGGGGCTGCATCCCACAATATTAAAACATTGCAAAGGCCCATTTTGTAAATTAATGGCATTATGTATTTAATCTTAATTTATAGGGCCTGTGAGTTCATATCTGGAATAAAATAATGGCAGATCTACAGAAATGTCACTGCCAAGGAGTGTCAAGCAAGTTCAGGAGGACTGAAACTGGATGTTCTCAGGATGAAAAAAAAATTTTTAATGATTTATAAATAGTACTTAGTATTTTATATTTAAACCTTAATTGCATATAAAATAGTTTATAGTTATCTTACCTTTGTACTTTTACTGTAATTATCTCTTTAGTTTGTATTTGTTCACTAATCTGTATTTTCTTATTTCAAAATAAACTGAATTTCATATCAAGAAGCAAAGTTTGTCTGTTTGTGTGCTTATTTAAAGGCACAGTTCAGCCTTCTGAGTGATGGTTTTTATGGCGCATTACAAGACTTTTAATTGAAAAAACTAACTAGGAAAATCAATTAAGCATAATTCAAAATCAGTGAACTCAATGTTAAAAAACATTAGAAATGTTTAAAAATGTTAAAAACATTGAAATCACTGATCTTGAATTGTGCTTAATTGATTTTCCTAATTAGTTTTTTCAATTCGGTTGTAATGCGCCTTAAAAACCATCATTCAAAAGGCTGAACTGTGCCTTTAAATTTCTCTTTCCCCCCTGGAAAATGGCCACGAATAACAGCGTCGAAAACGATTGATATCAGGTTGTTTACGTATTGATAAAACAAGACTGTTCGCAGTTGTTGACAATATAAAACATCATTGATATCAGGTTGATCTCAGTTGTTCCAACAACGTTGTTCAGGCCTTGTTCGTTCATCAGGCGTCAACAACATTGTTCGAACAAGCGTGAACAATATTGTTAACAAGCCTTGTTGACAGGGTGCAGCACAACATTGCTGCAACCTGTTCTGAACAATCGTGAACAAGTTGTTGACAACGTGCGACAACATGATGATTTTTACGCGTGTACGCTTTAAACAATATCTTCCACCCCCCCTGTTTTTTTTCCCAAATATAAAATATTTTGGTTTAAATAGTTTGTTTTTTAACTGAAAATCTGTCATCAATTTTTTCATCAATTTTGCCTGTTTTACAAAGTCGAGGAAGACGGTGCATTTTTGCAGTGTCTGTTGTGGCTCTAAAAGGAGAATATTACCGGCAAGATTCACGATTTTTTTACTTTCTCGCTTGGCAACGTTGCCATATATATTTTAACACTCGTGGATATGTCAAAACCTGATGTTGTATTAAAACTGCAAAGGAGGATCACACTGTTGTACGTAATAGTAAGGGGGGTCTGGAGGGATTTTCCCCCAGAAAATTTTGCTTTGCCAGAAAAAAGAAAAGCTTTGCCAAATATAGACCAAAACTGATAAATATAGTTACGTGGTCAGTGCCGGATTAACCTTTCTAGGGCCGGGGGCAATACTCTTTTAAGGGCCGGTCACAAAATGCGAATTCTCCCGTGGCTGTGAAAAAGTCCGATTTCTCCGGCTAGATCGGACATATAAAAAACTCATATTGCAGTTCCTCCGCTTAGAGAATGTTTCAGTTAGTTTTGTTTCAGTGACCATATGCCGTATGGTTGCAATATTTTATATTAGCCTATAAAAATACACTTGTGAGCACGTGTGAGTTTATTTTTTATTCCAATACAGTATTACATTGCATATATTTGTTACTGTAAACACTGAGGTAAGTGAGGTTGTTTTAACCAACGAGTTTACTTATTCGATGATCACATGATTATATAAACTTTTGAAGGAAAACTATAAATTATTTTTCATTCGTTTAATCCGGCACTGCACGTGGCGCTTCGCCGGTTCCTAATTAATGAAAATCATTTTAATTATACTGTATTCAAAGGAATTACTAAGTTATGTTTCGTTAGCAATTTTCGTGAGTTCCAAGAACAAGCCTTTCTCCTTGTTGAGTAGAACATCTGGTTTGTCAAACTCAACAATTGAACCTTGATCCAACACCATAATTCTGTCACATTCCTGAATCGTAGCCATACGATGTGAGATTGTTATTACTGTACAATCTTTAAACACGCCGTGAATAATATTCTGGATTTGTGCAGCAGTTTTCTGGTCTACCTTCCCAGTAGCTTCATCAAAGATTATAATTTTGTTTCGTTTCAACAAAATTCTTGCAAGATGAAATAGCTGTCGCTGACCAACGCTAAAATTCGAACCACCACCAGTGCATTCGTTGTCGAGTTTTTTTGGTAAACTTCCAACAAGAATGCCCAATTGCATCTGATCCAAAACATTCCATATTTCAGAATCATCAAGTTCACCTGTCGGGTTCATGTTCTCTCTGATAGTGCCATTAAATAGTACAGGAGACTGAGAAATAACAGAAATCCGTTGACGAGTAGATAGGATATTTAAATCTTCAATACTTAAACTATTTATAATAATATTTCCTTCAGTTTCGCCAATTCTCATCAGTGCAGCAACCAAAGAAGATTTACCAGCACCTGTCCTTCCAACAATACCAATCTTCTCAGCTGGATTAATTTCAAATGACAGGTCCTTCAAAGCTATAGGTCCATCTTTATAATGTCGAAGTGAAACATTGTTAAATTGTATGATTCCACTTTCTGGCCAATCTTTAGGAGGCTGTTCCTTGATCTCCCGTCCCTTCTCTGGTACGATCTCAGTGTAAGCCAAAATTCTTTCAGCAGACGTCATCTGAGCATGAACCTCGACAGCACTACGTACCATGGGTGTGGTGTATCCAGTACAGCGAAACGCATACAAAATGGTCACTGCACCAACAGCTAAAATCATCAAAAATTGAAACGCATTGTATTTCAGACACTATAAATAAATGTTCATTTATCTTGAGTGCGCTATAATTTGTGTCTAACTGCAAACTTGTATCGTAACCATAGAAATAATAGATATTGAATGCGTGCTCCTATCTTTTCTCAGTAAAAAATTTGTCTCCACAAATGGCGCATTGAAAAGGGCATTTTGGTTGGTCCCAGACTCCTGAGGCAGGGAATTTCGCGCGGTTGCGGGAGTGCGAATTATTTTTTCAACTGAAAAGTTTGCCAAAAATTTTATATTCGCCTCGGGATTTAAAATGGGAAAAAAGTTTGGTAAACTAAGGAAAAGTGTCTAAAAACCCGTTCCAGTGGGTTTTTTTACGAAAAGCAATGGTTCTGAACAGAATATATGCAGAAATCGTCGTTTAAAAATAAATTTTCAACGTTATGTTGTTGTGCAAAACAAAACACAAAAGATCAAGACAAACTCAATAGGTATGTATGTTCTACAAATATTTCAACTCTTTTACAATATAAATGGAGTTCAATAATCTTTTTAAACTTACACAATTATATTTCATATTTTTCTACGTTGCTTGAGCTTGAGGCAACGCTTTTGAAACCATGATTTTCGACGATTATTTTTAGGCAATTTTACAGTTTATCGACAACTATAAAATGTTTCAAGAACATGAAAACACTTCGTTTACATTGCAGAAAAACGAGACCCGACGAAGAAAGAACTATCATTTGGTAATCTTATACGATATTAGCAAAACAGTTACGTTCAGAGCATGTTAAAAGGCTGCACGATTTTCACTGTTTTCATAGTGTTTTGTAACTGCACATTTGCTTTGACAGTTTGTGCCTTCAAGGAACTCAAAATCTATCCCCAAACTACAAATTAGACAACAAGACAAAACGTTTTGATGATGAAAACGTAGTTTTAGCTTTGTTTATACTTTGTAGTTTGCACTCCTGGCCAAAATTCAAAATGGCGCATTCAAAAGGGCACGCACCTGAAAAAGTGGAGACATGATTCGTCATTAGCACGCATTCTATGCAGTAAACTCTATATATATATATCTGGAATGATAACAGCGAGCGAAAAGTGAAGCCGGCAAAAAAATCACGACATAAATTAAGTATTCGTCATTGTCTTCGTCATCAACTGTTCAAGAACTTTCTTACATGCAGTATTAAAAATCACTTACATATAAAATTTGTAATTGTTTTGAAAGTTTCTATCACAGTTTTTATATCTTTATTCACTTTTAACCTGAAGTTGGAGTTATACTCCGAAACGTAGTTATTAAAATAATTTTTTACTAAGCCCATATGGTCTAATTTATATTCAAACACACGTACATATTCATTTACATTTTGCTGGCAGGCAAATTCCGATCACACAATAAATTCTTTAAAAAATAACGTACCAGTGTATTGACTAAAAAGTATAAAACTGGTAAACTAAAAAACAATTCAAACAATCGCGAAAAATGGCAACGGCAAAGTCACAGTTGCAAGTCAATTTACCTACCTGTGAAATGAAATTTTCCTCGCAAGAATATCTCTTTCCTTGTGCATCCAGAACGACACAATATATTTGAAAAAGCCTATTCTTTTCTCCACACGGGGAAGTTTTCCTCGACTTTTTTCCGACAGCGAACTTAATGCAGTAAGTTTTAGGAGCAAAACAGTTTGCTCCTAAAATGTATTGCATTGAATTGGCCATGTTTTTAATTTTTTTTCGTGATTGCGTTCAAATTTATAACGGCCGTGCAACGGTTTGCAAGAGGGGGAATGAAACTGACGTCCAATCCGCGTAAACCTGACGTTTGAGGGACTGAGACTGACGTCCAATCCGCGTGAAAGACTGGTATCGAGGCTTCATTGTTTTCACAATTAAATGACTGAATGTTATTCCAGATATATATATATATATATATATATATATATATATATATATATATATATATATATATATATATATATATATATATATATATATATATATATAGAGTTCACTGATTCTATGTCTCAGATTATTTCTATGATCGTAACTCAAAATCTAAATGTTTCTACTATAAGTATTGCAGCCTATACCCTGCTACGTTTTCGATGTAGTCGTTGCGGTGGTAGTCGTTTTTTTGCATGGTTGATAGTGAATAGCTGTCACACCTTTTATGGTTGTTGTGATGCTGCTGATAGTTTTCGTGATGATGGTTAGTGATGATGATATAAGTATCCCAACTTTAAAATGTCTGACCATAATGTTAGTTGTTGCAAGACCCAAAACTTCAACGAATAAAGAATACTAAATTTCTGCCTGTTATACAAAATAGACGAAGACTGCTACGTATGTACTCATAAACTCATACCTGCTGATGAGGAATCTTTCACTGTGTACAATTCAAACAAACCAACAACAACGCAGAACATACCAAGAACCAGATCCAGGGTTATTCCAAACCAACGAGCTGCTGTGTAATAAGCAAACATGGCTTCATGCTGATGATCAATGTGCCTTGAAAAAAAATTGGCAATTAGGCCATTTCAAAATCTGGCATTTGAACATTTGTTTGTTTCTGTTGGTTTTTAACCAGCTCTCACTATAATGATTTTTCCTGAAAACGGGAATATTGCACAGTTTTTGGTATGAATTTCTGAGAAATTTAATCAATTCCAAATGTGACTTTTGTACGTACATGGCATGCATACATCAGTGTATATAAGTTGCAGAATTATAATGCGAAAACGATTTATGAATGGTGAATGAATCTGGGTCATTCCTGTACAGATTGGTAGATAAGTAAAAATTGTTAGAATAATCATACGTGTTAACCAGGATTATAATGAACTTCAATTTCTAATACCTGTACGCAGACTCTATGAAACTCTGCTGTCGTTTATGCACGCGAATTGTTCTAACTCCTTCCATAGTGTTGGAAAAATGTGAATACAAGGGACTACCAGACTCAGACATTAAACGTTTAATGTCCATTGCGCTACTGAAGAAAAACTTTGAGGTACCAAAACAGATACTAAGTGCAACAAAACAAACTGGTATGAGATAAACACTTGAGAGAAAACATAAAACAATTGCTGCCAATCCGGGCGTCGCACATTGAAAGAAGTACACCAAGTTAAATGGCAGAAGATCGTCCAAGTTGTTGATATCTTGTGAAAACCTGTTCAGTATTCGACCTGCAGAATTCACAGCGTAGAAATGACTCGGGGCTTGAAGTAGACAAGTAACCATTTTATTGTGGACTCTGTAGTTAGCTCGTATCGGTACAAGAAATATGCATAACTTTGACAGAATCACTATTAATATTGTGACCAACAAAGACACTGGATAAATAATTAACGCGCGGTGAAACTTATCTTCTTCTTTCACAATATTCGGTAATGATGAAACTTGGATATCAACCCACACCGTGAGACCTACGAAAAGGAAACATATACCACAGTATACACCTGATCATAGTTTCAATAAAAACCCAGCTAATAAAAACCCAAGATAAACAAATTTTTGGTGACAGGCAACATAATTATGCAATATTGAGCAAGATTCATCAAGAGGGATGTACTAACAGGGAATTGGTAAGGATAATTAATTTGTGCGAAGCACAAAATAAAAGTATTGTTCAATTCCACCTCTCAGTAAACAGGCTAGGGCCTAGTAATTATTGAAGGAAATAGAGAACATTTCACAAAATAATTGCTTTGGCTCGTTCTTTGTTGTGGATATTTTATGTCTCAGCAATTAATAATAAGCGTTTAGTTTTCACTCAACCATGGACCATTACAAATCCATCATTCTGACTGGCTACTCAACCATAGACCATTATACGTAAGGGTCCATGCATGGTTGAGAAAAAAGATGGCGGAAAACTTTTCTTTTGCAAAGGTTTTGATCCTTTCCCCGACGAACAAAAAAGACTATAAAATATGATTCGAAGACGTTTAATGGTAGATAGTAACATTTAAACGGTATTTTAGTCGTAAATTTGCTTTTACTTGCCAACAAATGTGATACGAAGACTTCAAGACAGGCGGAATTGCTGCATCAACACATCGTTTGTACGTGCATATTATACATTCAAGCACAACGTCAACCGATGAATTTTTAGCTGCCTGTAGTTACTTCATCATATATTTTCTTCGTCGATCTTTTAAGCGTTTCTTTGTCGAAAATGTTTCTAAATGATTTCCTTATAGCTTACGAGTTTTTCGGTAAAATTTTATTTATGCATTTCAGATAATAGTATTTATTTTATAGTTATTTTGTCACTTATTTATTCGATTTCAACGACATTAGGATTGCTATGCGTGCATTTTGTATTTCTTTTTGACCTAAACTACTGCAACATTTCTGGAAACCATATTAGTATACAGTTTGAAAACATCTTCATAGTTATGGACTTTTAAGTCTTGTTTCGTCCTCTTATAATTTTCAAAACTTTGCTTATATTTTCCTTAAAGTGCATATGACATGAAATTTCTTATGTTCTTAAATGAAGGAACTCTTTAAGTTGTAGTGTAACTTATTTTTTAGTTTCTTGTTTTTATGGTTTGTTCCCGAGATATTTCAATTTGCTTGATATGTAAATGAGTGTGAATATGTCCGCTCATTTATGACGTCATGTTGGTTGCAAGCTCTTCAAAATGCTTGAATATCACTGCTATTATCCAAGATGATAATTTCAAACTTCACTTACTGGTAAATGTGATGAAACACTGGAGAAAAACGGGAACTGATATCAACAGTTTTTAGAGTTAATACATTTAAGTTGAGTTTGCAACCAATGTGACGTCATAAATTAGCGGACATATTCACACTCATTTACATATCAGACAAATTGAAATATCTCGGGAACAAACCATAATAACATGAAACTGAAAAATAAGTTACACTACAACTTAAAGAGTTCTTTCATTTAAGAAAATAAGAAATTTCATGTCATATGCACTTTAAAATCATGACTGTTTTTGACCTTTTTTATTTTTAAACAAAAAAAGCCGCAAGTGAAGCATGCGAATGTTGAAAGAAATCATTCAAATGCTCGTGCGTGGTTTTAAATTTTATTAAAATCTTGCAAAGTGTGCTTAGACTTTGTATTTTCAGTAGGAGTGTATACTAAAACAATTAGACAACTCGGACTCGTTATCTATTCGCTCATAGACAACTCCGCCTCTGTATCTAATTTTTAAATAGACCGAGCGCGCAAGCGGCTTTGGATTTTGGCACCGGTATATATTTACCAGGAAATGCAAAACAAACCTTTCAGTTATGCTATTGTCTTTTCACTGTGCAGCAATCTAGCCAAAGAGCAGATAATTTCCGATTTACGCTCTAATTGTCCGGGAACAATGACACCAATAAGCGCAGGCTTAGTGCTAACATACTACAATATAGTCTAGAAACATTGTAATTTAGCACAGAACCTAGCTCGTTCCTTGCCATTGTCTGTACAGGCATTCGACCGTAATTCGATAATGGTCTATTGTATATTTCATTCAGCATGCACTGCAATGAAAAATGTTCCATTTATATTCATTAGTGCATGAGTTTATCTTACCTTGTCCAGCTACAATGATCAATAAAATGAGTAAAAGCATCAACGCTGGGGCACCAAACATGAAATACTTCGCATCAACATTGAAAGAAACGCTTCCTACTTCACGTTTTTCCTCAGCTTCTCGTAACTGTTCAGCATCTGCAAGATCATCATCTCCTTCTGCATGTTCACTATCTGTCTCTTGTGCTGGACTCTCTTTGCTCTCAGTGATTTCTAGTTCTGGTATATCTTTATTCACTTCTTCCACTGTTCCCTGAGCAACAACCATACCTGCATTGAAGAAATTTAGCAACTCCTGCCACTCAATTCTCACGGTATAATTTTGGCTTCTAAACAAGCTACTAGCTTCTTAGTCGCATTGCATGCCAAATCTAGCTACTGTATATAACATATACTATACGCGCTTCTTCTGAAAATATTTATCTTGGTAAGAATAAGAAGTTTTAGAGTTCCAATAATAAGGAGAAATGCGGTAGCAAAGACAGAGCCCATGTCGCCGTCCATTTTGCCCCTCCCCACATGCTAAATATATGGATCACTCAAGTAAAGGTTCCTTTAATCCCAAAGAGGAAGACTGATTTCAGATGAATATTTTTTATATGCCCTTAACCCATCACCTTGTTTTTACATTGGAAGCCCAGTCTGTTTAGGTTGAATATACAAAAAGTTGAGTTTGAAAAAATGGGGGGGGGGGGCACTCCACCTCATCCCACCATACTGGTTTGCACTTATCCAATTCCCCACTTCCTTAGGTGAGGGACTGAATCCAACTCCCATATAATTTTTACGAGCATGGTTTGCGTGCCTATAGTTGGTCAACTAAAGGCAGCATTTGTAAATCCTGAGGTTTCATTCCAGTAGTACGATACCAATTGCACTGATCAGTAAGTTAATTTGAACATCCTAGACCAGCATATAGCGTGAATCGTAATCAACAGGCCATGCATCGTACATTACGTATTGCTAATGCATGTACAAAATCACTTACTTGCTTCGACTTTTTATTACTTTTAGTCAATTATTTACTTATAATTTTCTCTTCAATTATTTACTTATAATGATCAATTACAATGTCGTGCTATTCCACATTTTGAATGCGTATTCGCACTTTGAAATAGCAATGCCAATGGCGTGCTGTAAGGTAAAATCTTAATTTTTTGGGAACAAAAGAACAGAGGAAAACTTTTCAACAACTGTAGGATATCAGGAGAGCATAGTATTTTTTTTATTTTATGGTTTGTAATTTATAACTAACCTTTTGTCAACTTCACGATGTAGTCAGCTTCGGCCAAATATCGAGGATTGTGCGTGATGGTGAAAACAATGCGTTCCGATAACAATCCTTTGAAAACATTGTTGAAAATATTTTCTGCCACCTTGGCATCTAAAGAACTGAAGGGGTCATCCAGTAGATATATATCAGCGCGGGAGTACACCGCGCGTGCTAATGCGATACGCGTCCGCTGTCCGCCACTCAATGTTGCACCGTGTTCTCCAATATGTGACATATCCTGATTTGGGAATCTTCTGAAATCTCTCTCCAACTCACAAGCTTTGATGGTGTACGAATACCATTTTTCATCATATGCTAAGCCGAATAATATATTCTCACGAATGGTACCGGGAAATACCCAAGGCGTGTCCGAAACATACGCAATGTTTCCAAAATGTTTTATAGATCCCTTAGCTAAATGAAGTTCTCCATGAAGAATACTTGAGAGCAGTGACGACTTTCCACTGCCAACTGAGCCAGTTATTATAACTAACTTCTTGGATGATATTGTGATAGAAATGTCAGTTAAAAGTATAACATCTTCCGTTTGTGCATATGAGGTATTGGATGTGAGTAATTTACAAAATACGTTATCCAGGCAAACATAAGGAGTCACACGAACTACTTCCGAAGATTTTTTATCATCGCTTGACTTCGCATCTATCTCTGACACCTCTCCTTTCGTAGGCAGAAGCTCATTAATGGTATCATGTGCAGAATCGCAGCTTTCCAAGAAACGCTGTATCCGAGTAAGGCCAGTGATTATATCCGTACTGAAATGAATGGAAATTGGTATTCTCATGCAAATAATCTCACCAATACCGACAGACAACACCATTATCGTTAATAAGTTATCGAACGTGAGCATGGAACGATCAATGTAAATTAGAACCAGCACAATGACAAAGGTTGACAGATGCTGTCCACATGAAGTAAACGAAAAGCTCGCAGAAAGAATAATCCACCTTTTTGCTTTATATTTTATTTCTTCCCTATATAGAAAAAAGAAAAGGTCTGTCAAACTGTTATCTTAAAAATAGAATACATGAGAAATTGATATACACGCAGTTAGTAAGTTTCGACCCAGGTTTTAGGACACCAACCTATATATATATATATATATATATATATATATATATATATATATATATATATATATATATATATATATATATATATATATATATATATATATATTTATATATATAGCTACTTATCCTCCACTCACGATACGTTAATTTCATGGGAAAACGTATACGTGTAATGCGAGTTTAACCATTCCTTGTCTCTTTGCTGCTGTTAAAGGGAACTCACCATCTTGTTCTTTGAATCTTTTCCTCATAGACATGCTCCAGACAATTCAGTTTAACGGAATGAATGATCATCAGAACTTCTCGAAGGTAACCGAGGCGTTTCTCTGACAGTTGTGAAGCTTTTTCACGATAGTTTACGTCCATATTTGTCATGCATAGGCGAAATAAAGCAAGAATGGTAAATACTCCTAGACCCGGCACGAACTTCCAGCTGACAAAATAAAATAGCCAAATAATGTAGACGATGGCTTTACCAATTTGTCGAACCATGTTGGGAAGAAATTGATCTCCCATTGTGATTAAACGAAGAGTGTCGTCGCATACCAACTCCATTACCTCACCAGCGTTCATGGACATTTTACTACATTTCAACACCTTAAAGTAAGAATAGATTTCTTTTTATGAATGTTTGTCTATATATAGCGGACACACCCTTTCAGCGTATCTCCGCCGCACAACGTAATTATTCATAATCGCGCTGTTTTCTGCAGATATATGTTTTTAAATACGAAATAAACATTCTCTAATGACATCGCCAACCGGAAAACTGTCATAAAGCATATAGTTATCCTGAAATCGACCTTTAAATCGACTGGAAAATACACACCAAGATCAAGGAAATCCTTAACTAAGTAATTTTAAAATTTGTTACTGCGCTGAAAACGGTGGAAACTTTGGATAGCTGGCCAATTCAGGGGCGAAACTTGAGGGGGTGTAGGTGGCACCCCAAAGACAATCATCTGGATTGGCAGGGCAAATCATCTGGATTGGCAGGGCAATGAAATATTTTAAATGATAGAATGTAGAGTTATTAATTAAGTAGATTCCAGGGCTTCCAGAGGGAATTGAATAGAATTTATAGACCTAAATTTTACAGATATTGGTAAAAAAATAAGGGTTTCATGCATGTTTTAACAGGAATTTCGCCCCTTTTTGGAATGTCCGGAAAAAATCTTTCGAGCCCCCCCCCCCCCGCTCGCGCTGCAGAGCATTATCGGCTTTGGCAGGGCAATTCTAGCAGACACCCCCCTAATGAAAAGGGGCTAGTTTCGCCCCTGCTGGCCTTATTTATATCCAAGTCCTTATCGGACCATTCCTTATACTTGTAAGTTAATTTTATAACAAACATGCATGCTTGCTGTTGCTGGTTCGGTGAGTCCGGGATTGAACGCACCGGCCGAGGGTGGCTGGAACTTTCCTGAGTTCGGGAAACTTCCAGCCACCAGAGGTGCGTCCAATCCCGGACTCACCGAACCTGCAAGTATGTTTGGTTTTTATCACATGCCATTTCGGTAAAAAGTACTGAAGATTTACGCATTTTAGCATAATTTCTTGTTTGTATGACGAACATTTTAGCTGCCAACACACCACGCGAACAAACAAACTTAGGCTTAACTTGAAGCTAAAAAATTCTCTACAATATTCCCTTATTCTTGAAAAGAGAAAATGCACACATTCTGCGAAAACATTGCCAAGTGAACCTGCCAGTGCATGGAACCTATGAGTGGAACCTGCTCGTGCCGAACAAATTTCGGCGGCCATCTTTCTTCTCTTCCTCTTTGAATACATAATATTCCATGTTCATCAAACAAAATAAAAAAATAATAATTATAAAACAATTAAAAACAGTAAATTAAATTTTTATTTAAATCTTCGTCTGAAATTTGTTCAAATCGCTTCATAATGGCCGCCGCCGAAACATCGATCTCGAACCCATGCACCTCTTAAACTTGCGTCAGCATGTGAGTTCGAGATTGAACGCACCTCCTCGTAGCCAATAGGAAAGCCGCTAATACGCTAGGTATGAGATAGAACGTTAAGTTATTTTTGGCTTCTTTTGCTGATGTTTTCGAAAGTTATTTTTGTTCGTAGTATATTTACGACAGCTGTAAGTTGCAGGTATTTCGGTGATGGAATATCAGGGGCCGGTTGCATGTAACTACCCATTTTGTCGTTAACTTTAACCACATGCATAGTTGTATAAAAGTCGGTTGTATAAAAATGTAGTTTGCGTTAATAACTGCAGTTAAAAAGTAGTTAAAGTTAACTATATGCTCTAGCTATCGTTAACTTCTCAAAACGTAGTTAAAAAAGGCGCTTGTATAGGAGTGAACAACATTTTTCAGTAAAACAATAATGAAAAGCAATACCTGGGATTTCCAATCGCTATCTTCCCCATAGACCGCGAGCAGTCCCTTGGGAGAAAGGAGGAACCGCCGACAACACATCCGAAGAAACGAAATACGTCCACTTTTCGCTCTTGTCAAGTTGGCTCCGCCTTTGCATAAACACTTATATCTAATTAAATCTATCCAATAAGAACCGTTAATGTCATGCTATTTATAAAATCAACATTCAGTCTGGAAATTATTTATAGCATAATTACTACGTATCAGGTTTTATTGACAGGCGTATCGATTTCGACCAATGGGAATTTTGCGTTGTGTGGGCAACGCGTATCTCGTTTCTTGATGTGTTGTCTGTCGTCCCTCCTTTCCTTTCGCATGCCCGGAAATCTAAACCCACGGAAAGGAAGGAGCGCTTGCAGTCTATCTTCCCCAATGTTTCCTGACACTTCAAACGCTATTGCTTTGGTGTTCTCGCGAAAACAAAATATATTTTTGCACGGGAAGATTTCTCGAAGACGACCTATATATATATATATATATATATATATATATATATATATATATATATATATATATATATATATATATATATATATATATATACGCGAGTAGGTTTGTGTATACGAAACGCAAAGAGTGCTCAATATCATAAAGATAGAGCAAATGTAGAATTTCGCTTACCTCAAAATTCTGAAACAGACTGTTGCGGAATTTTGAGGTAAGCGAAATTATATATATATATATATATATATATATATATATATATATATATATATATATATATATATATATATATATATATATATATATATATATATATAGAGGTTCGAGACCCAGCCGCGGCAGACAACATCTTTCTGCTTGCGCTGGGTATGGAAATTATATAATACACACTCTAGAACATTTTCATCTTAACATATTACAGAGTGTACAATAACACAATTAACATAACACTTGCAGAACTAGTATTGTTCGATGCTGAATTAATATAAACGAGTATGTTTATGACATTCAGTATATATTTCATAATTTCCAGTCTTAAATCCGTCTGACCGTGTAGCTCAGTTGGTAGAGCGTCGATCTAGTAATTCGAAGGTCGCGGGTTCAAGACCCAGCCGCGGCAGACAACATCTTTCTGCTTGCGCTGGGTATGGAAATTATATAATACACACTCTAGAACATTTTCATACCGTTAAACTGAATTGTCTGGAGCATGTCTATGAGGAAAAGATTCAAAGAACAAGATGGCGAGTTCCTTTTAACAGCAGCAAAGAGACAAGGAATGGTTAAACTCGCATTACACGTATACATTTTCCCATGAAATTAACGTATCGTGAGTGGAGGATAAGTAGCTGACCTCGTCGAACTGTTGAGATTTGAAGTTTTCCCGCAAACAAAATATCTAACATTCTGCTAAAATTGAGTCCCTGGTCACCACATATTATACTATATGTTAGATACCTACATTTCTAAGTACTTTAGTCACAAGTTGAACGAAAACAATCTCTCATGAAGTTGAGATTCCTTTAGTGAAAAGTCATCGAAGTCGTAAAACTATACACAGTTACCATATAATTTATTTCTCAAATTCCACGATCAACAAATGCGGAAGCCTGAGAAACTGAAGAAGCAAAGCTCTCGTTATCTAGATGTTGTCGTTTAGTCCCAGTACATGCAGCTTATACTGAGTAGCGTGCATATCCACAACATTATATATATATATATATATATATATATATATATATATATATATATATATATATATATATATATATATATATATATATATAACTACCGAAGATCATTACCGCAAACGTTTGATTGAAAAAGCCGAAAGCGTTGTTCAGCGCATGAGATGGAAAGCCCATTTCTTTTTGGGAAATAACGAAGTCACAAGTTCAGAGAACAATTACGGATTACCATCAAAGAATTATGCTCCACCAGTCAGAGAGATGAAGGCATTCGAGCACGACCTTGTCAAATTAACATCAAATATTCGTTTCAGAAACGTGGCCGATCCATTTCTAAACAAAGTTCAGGAAGATATAAAGAACATCAATTCATCCCAAAAAGTCGTTGTATCATCAACCATATCCCTTCCTCAATCAGCAAACGCATCTCCTCGCTCTCTTCCGATCAAGCATCCTTTGACTCTGCTGCACCATTCTACGAAGATGCGCTTAAGCGCAGCAACTACGATGTACCTCTGCAATACTCGGCCTGTGATAATTCCTCCAGTTTGCCATCTACCAACCGAAGACGTCGTAGAAACATCATTTGGTTTAATCCACCATTCAGCAAAACAGTTCGAACTAACATCGGTCGAAACTTCCTACAGTTAATTGATAAACATTTCCCTTCTACCAACCCGCTCCATAAGGTCTTTAACCGCAACACAGTCAAAATTAGCTACTCCTGCATGGAGAATATCAAAACCATAATATCCCGACATAACCATCGCCTGTTAAAGAAAAAACCTACACAAAAACCTATCCCATGCAACTGCCAAAAACCAGATGAATGCCCACTAGACGGAAAGTGCAAAGTAGACAACATTGTCTACAAAGCTACGGTGACAACAACTGATGACGGAAATACAAAAGAGTATATTGGAATGACGGCCAACCCATTCAAAGAAAGATACGCCAACCACAAAACGTCATTCAACCTCTACAACCACTCGTCTGACACAAAGCTTTCGAAGTACGTTTGGAGTCTGAAGCAAAGTAGAAGAAATTACAGCATCAAGTGGTCCATCTTGAAACGAGCTGCTGCGTACACGCCTGGTGGAAAGCGATGTGGCCTCTGCCTGGAAGAGAAATTATGTATCCTGAAAGCGAAAGGAAACAATTCACTGAACACGCGATCAGAGTTTTATGCAAAGTGCTGTCACAAGGAAAAATTTAGCGCGTGCAAATTCAAACCGGTGACGATAGACAAACCTCCGCGTCAGCGAGCGACCGTTGATATTGACGAATCAAACACCATAACTGAATTAATTGCCTGAAGATCGTCTTGAATAAGGCGTGAAACTTGAGTAGCAATAATTAATTTTAAGATATAAATATATATATATATATATATATATATATATATATATATATATATATATATATATATATATATATATATATATATATATATATAATTCAGTCAAGGTTTGAATGTTTGCGTCGCTACTCTGAGTTTCACGCTTTACGCGATCATCAGGCAACGGACAGATATTATTCAATATTCATAATAAATATAGGTTATCATTTTACAACTTGATTAAGCAGGTATCTGGTTACATGTCTACATTTGGAAAACAAGTCAGAGCGTTTGTTCAGGCGTTCAGTTTTCTTCGCTTTCATAATAAGTAGTTTCTCCTCGAGGCATAAATTACACCGTTTAGATCCTGGTTTGTATGCTTTGACTTTCTTCATAATGGACCACTTTATTGTATACTGACTTTTTTCTGACTTCAGTTTCCAGACGTACTTGGACAGTTCGGTGTTGCTCTTGTATTCCTCATGTCGGAAAGACTTAGTGTGATTGCGGTATCTTGTTTTGAAATCGCCCGCCGTCATGCCAATGTATATTTTCTTTTCCTGGTTGTTGGTAGTGCTGGTTGTCACTTCGGCTTTGTATACGATGCTCTCAGTAAGACATTTTTTACCAAGTGGACAGTTGGCGGGTTTTTGGCAGTTGCACATTGGCGTGTCGTTTTTTGTAGGTGTTGGTATTACCGTTGGTATGGATGATTGTATTACCCTAGCAGTTGGCGTTCGTTTTGTGTTTCGGTTCAGTATATTACGATTGTGTTTACGGATGAGATTTTTCATGTTTGTCATGCAACTGTAACTAACACGGACTGTGGGGCGGTTGAAAAGTTTGTGCAGTTTGTTTGAGGGAGGAAAATGCTTGTCAATTAGGTTTAGGAATGTCTGTGCTACATTGGTCTTAACGTTCTTGCTATAAGGGGGGTTGTACCATGTAATGTTTCGTTGTCTGTTTCGTTTATCGGAGTTATTAGTGTTGTTTTGAGTTTGTGTGTACGTTAGGTTAACGTCAAAGTTGCTTTGCTTGAAAGCGTTGTTGTAAAGTGGCGCTGCTGCGTTGAATGCTTCTTCGTCACATGATAGTTTGTTAATGCGTTTGTTGACTGAGTGTGGAAGTTGTCGTGTGATGGAAGGTGGATGGTTTGATAATCTGTTTATGTACAGTGGTTCATCATTAGGTTTTCGGTATGGTTTATATTTACCGTTTGATAAGTCAAGCGTCAAGTCAAGGAAGTTCACGCACTTGATGTTTGTCTGGGTGGTGATTCTAAGGCCAAAGCTCTCAAAAATGGTGATCAACTCTTTCCTCGCCTTGTCCGCAAGTCTGCCTGATGTTGTTCTGAGGGCAGCCAAGCCGTCGTCACCGTATAGGCCTACGTCTTTCCCAAAGCGTTTCTCGAGTGTGTTCAGAATAAAAAGTCCGACGAGTTCACAGACCTCAGCGCCATCGAAACTTCCCATGGTCACGTCAAACGTGGTGGTGTTGTTCTTCTTCGTCCAAGCTTGTTGGTTGTAAAAAAGAAGGGATCTGCGCGCGTGCTTCACAATGCGTATATCGCTGTCGGAAATTGCGATGAATTGTTGGCTCCATGCGATTGCACGGTCGAGTAGACTTTCAGTTATGGACGGGTAAAATTCGACTATATCGAAAGATAGGAAAGACAGTCTGTCCTTGTTAGTTAGTGAGTCAAACCAAGTGATTGTGTCCTCAGAGTTTCTCCACTGGTTTGCACAAGTTTGTCGGCGGATTTCAGCATTGATTTTGTCCAAGATGGTTTTGCTAACTTTGCCGAGATCAGATTTCGCCGGGTTTATCAATCGGCACTTTGGATGGTTTTCGAAGCCGTCCTTGTGATCTTTTAGTGAAATAAACGCCGGCGGTTGGGTTGCTGGTTCCATGCGGTTTCCGATGTTTAATTCGTTGGCAATATTTTTAAGTTCGTGGTTAATTTTGTCAACTGTTCCGTCTTGTGCCAATTTGTAGGTTTTGGTGATGTTCTCAGTCAACAATTTGTTGTATTTGTCCGCGTGCATTTCATAAATGTTGTGTGTCTTGTCAGCAAAGATGAAGACATTTTGAGACGCTTCTATCTTTCGTTTGTCTTGCTCTAAGGTGTTCATGAATTCGTCGTTTACGTGTCGGAATTTGATGTTCTCTGTCATATGTATAATGTCGTCTTCGAAGCGTTTCAGCTCGGGCACAGCCGGTGGTGATTGTTTTGATTTCAAACCGAACGTGGGAGTCTTTTCACGCTTGCCGCTTTCGCCGTTTAAGTAGAAATGCGCTTTCCATCTCATGCGTTTAATAACATTTTCGGTCTTGTGAATGAGTTCTCTATGGTATTCGTCGTATCCGGGTAAGCCTATATTTTTTTTAGTGAATAGTTGAATCGTATCTGCTGCATTCTTCCTTTCACTATACCAAGGCAACAAGAGCGCTCTACTAGGGAAAGGAGCGTTATACTGAAGACTATATTCAAAAAAATAGTCGATGAGTTGACGTAAGGTAGAAGAGCGCTCAATACCATAATAAGTAGAGCGGAATTAATTCAGTCAAGGTTTGAATGTTTGCGGCGCTACTCTGAGTTTCACGCTTTACGCGATCATCAGGCAACTGACAGATATTATTCAATATTCATAATAAATATAGGTTATCATTTTACAACTTGATTAAGCAGGTATCTGGTTACATGTCTACATTTGGAAAACAAGTCGGAGCGTTTGTTCAGGCATTCAGTTTTCTTCGCTTTCATAATAAGTAGTTTCTCCTCGAGGCATAAATTACACCGTTTAGATCCTGGTTTGTATGCTTTGACTTTCTTCATAATGGACCACTTTATTGTATACTGGCTTTTTTCTGACTTCAGTTTCCAGACGTACTTGGACAGTTCGGTGTTGCTCTTGTATTCCTCATGTCGGAAAGACTTAGTGTGATTGCGGTATCTTGTTTTGAAATCGCCCGCCGTCATGCCAATGTATATTTTCTTTTCCTGGTTGTTGGCAGTGCTGGTTGTCACTTCGGCTTTGTATACGATGCTCTCAGTAAGACATTTTTTACCAAGAGTAAGAGTAAGACATTTGACAAGACAAGAGTAAGAGTAAGACACCAAGAGTAAGACATTTTTTACCAAGAGTAAGAGTAAGACATTTTTTACTGAGAGCATCGTATACAAAGCCGAAGTGACAACCAGCACTGCCAACAACCAGGAAAAGAAAATATACATTGGCATGACGGCGGGCGATTTCAAAACAAGATACCGCAATCACACTAAGTCTTTCCGACATGAGGAATACAAGAGCAACACCGAACTGTCCAAGTACGTCTGGAAACTGAAGTCAGAAAAAAGTCAGTATACAATAAAGTGGTCCATTATGAAGAAAGTCAAAGCATACAAACCAGGATCTAAACGGTGTAATTTATGCCTTGAGGAGAAACTACTTATTATGAAAGCGAAGAAAACTGAATGCCTGAACAAACGCTCTGACTTGTTTTCCAAATGTAGACATGTAACCAGATACCTGCTTAATCAAGTTGTAAAATGATAACCTATATTTATTATGAATATTGAATAATATCTGTCAGTTGCCTGATGATCGCGTAAAGCGTGAAACTCAGAGTAGCGACGCAAACAT